CCCAAATAACACCAACTCTGCCATAACTGGAATGAACAAATCTAATCAAGGATGTCATCCTACCAAGAGGACAATCACATAATTGGTACACTCAATCCACTACTAGGGACTCACTTATAGAAGCAAAAACACACATGAAAGTAGAAATAAAATCATACTCTAAACCACGCCTAAAATGAAGTCGTTTGTAACACCCCATGTCCAAAACATACCAAAAACCAATTTTTTATGAAAATGTGCAGGTGCATCAATGGTTGCCATCAACAATCTGTAGCCTGACCCACGGTCCGTCCTGCACATCTATCGATTTGGTCAGAAACCACCAAAAATCTCAATCCAGAAAATTTGACTAACCGTTCGACAAGGGACGGACTTATGGTCTATAGGTCAGAATGTTACCTACGAAAGTCATGTTTAAGAAAAATATTTTCTCACTTTGTTTTTGTTGATGAATTAGTTTTGCAAGTGACTCTTTTTTTCTTTATATATGTCTCTTGTATTTAAAATGTTAAAATTTATAAATTGTCTTCCATCAGTCAATTTATGCCTAAGGAAAATAATACCAGCATTCCATTTTGTTAGTTACAATTTTTCATAACAGTATCGCAACATTGGGAAGGGCTATAAAGGTATTGTTAAAAGTTTTACCATCTGATTATCAAAAATCTATTAACAAATTGATTCCATTTTGAGCTCAATTATTCATGGGATGATGGATACATAGAGCAAACTTTAAGAATATTAACGAATCCCATGAAATTTTCATAATATTAGTTTCTGCAAGCGAGTATACAAAATAACCTATTTGACAATCGCAAGATATTCCACCACATAGACCCCACAACATTTCTAGAGTACATAAAACTATCTGGCCCTACTACACATGAATAACTATAATTAAATATATACAATTCATCAATTACATCGACTCACAAATGAAACAGATATAAAAGAATATCACTACAAAGGATACAAATGCACAATATACCAAACAAACAGTAATGAGTGAAAATAGTTGTGGTTTAAGACCTAAACCAGAATGAATCTAATTGGTTGAAACAAAATCGAATGAACCAACTACAAAAACAAAACGACATGACATCCGACTGTCTTATTGGACTACTCAACTTTGTTGCACCGAAACGTTGTGTCCTTTCGGACACTTATAACACACCAATTCCACCGCCAAACCGAAATGGTGTGTCCTTTCACACAGTAATACACACTTATTCCTATTGGTAAAATAATAGGAACAAACAATTACATTCTTCACAACACAATTAAAATCAAACCTTCTGCTAATAAGAAATCTATTGCAACACACTGCAAAATCAAGAGAACGAGATTGGACATGAATCTTAACAACATTAATACATCGGCTAACATGAATTCTATTGCACTACACTAAAAAATCAGTAGATGATATATTGGCCACTAATCTTACCAGCATAAATTTTTTTAAAAAAATTCAGAATTACCAGATCATGGGGCAAGACATAATGAATTTGATAACACACAATATTAAGGCATTTTGTGGGTCTACATATATTTCCTCCGACATTCAGGAACTACACAAACTTCTACCTCAGTTAGAAAAAAAATATAGGAAGTCCAAAAAAAATATGAGGAGTAATACATTAACAACCACATATAATACGCAGACAGAGAAATTAGTAAATATCAAAAAATTACTACCAAAGTATGCTCGCGTGAAGAGGTAACTCACATTAGTTCACAGGAAATACAAAGATCAACCAAAGAAGCAAGCGGATTTGGTTGTACGTTTTCTAAAAGAAATGGAAAACGAAATGAAACTATCTAATATCATAACTATAAAACGGAAACAACAAATACATGGTACGTTCAATTTAACTCATATATACCACCACAACCGACCCAATTAGTTTAATTGTATACTACTTAGTACGTAGGAAATCATTATAACCTTAAAAAATTAAATCTTAGAAAGGCTGAAAAACATGGTAAAACCTATCAATTACACATGCACATCGTCTGTTACTTGTAACTCCCTTCTCTTACATGATGTGAATGCCTGTCACATAAAACAATAAACAGAGAAATATTATTGCTAGAAATTAAATGAACCTAATATTTACTTATACAAACAACTTTCCAGATGTACAATACTTAGTAACAACATTGTCAAAACTATTTTACAGGGGGCCAACCTAACCAATCCTATGATTCGGTTATGGATGAATGTGAATACGTATCAAATCCAAATCAGTTGAACAGAGGCAACAACCCAATCATTTTCCAGAAAACAATTACATATCAAAAACATTTAATAGGACACATTATTACCTATGCACCTAACTCTGCATAAGGTTAGGAAATCCAATATTTGTGCATACAATACTTAAACTTATTAGCTACAATGTTTAATGCCAGGTGCATACCAGAAAACTTGGAATTTAGGGCCTCCAACCAACACCTGCAAATATTGCGGAGCATTCTATGGTATGAAGAATGGACAATCAAAAGTACAAATACACAACAACCCAAATTTTCAATATGTTGTATGAAAGGTCGTGTTCGTTTATCATTAGAAAACCAACCACCACCCTACCTTCAATATCTTTTGGGCACTACATCCAAACAAATAGGTGTACACTTTAGAAAAAAATATAAGGGTATACAACTCCATGTTCGCATTTACATATATGGTAGGTCGGGTGGACAAATTAATCAATCATACAAAAGGTGCTTATGTATTCAGAATCATTGGACATAATTATCATCATATGGATCTCTCTTACCTGAAACTGGAAAAAAACACAATTTTCACAATTATATATATATATATATATATATATATATATATGATACGAACAATGAAATAGAAAATTGAATCAACAGTCTAATGCATAAAGAAGTTCAAATAGACATTCTTCAAGAAATATCTAAAATGCTCGACGAGCATAATTTCTGGCACGATCATTTTGTATGGCAAGAGATAGATATAGAGAATAACCACAAACAAAGTTTCGCCTGCGTCTTCTATCGGAAAGAATGAATGACAGTCGGCAATACAACATATCTATGGCTTCATAAGTAGCTGGATTGATCATTAGCGATCTTACAGATGCTAACCTTCAGCGAGATGTTATTGTTGAACACCGCAAAAATAGGCTCCAAAGGATCACAAATTTACACACAAGTTTCATGTCAATGACTTACACATTAATACACCAAAACAGTGATGATTGATATATACTGGGAATACAATTGGTGTCTCAAAGCCAAAAAAAATTACACATGCGAGCACATGACAATGAGATAGTATTATGGATACCGCATACAACAACAGCTTAATAAGGGGCATACACTTATAGGGGCTGGCAGGCTAGTGCAGCACTACATTGTAGATGGTTACATGGCAATTGAAGAGGAGCGATTTAGATATTACGAAATAACCAACCAAAGCTTTGGGATGATCTTTTTGGAGGCTTAATGAATGTTGTTGTGCATGGAGATTGTGATTGTTCACAGGTGGGAAAACAATTATATTACCTTCGTCACACACGGGGGGACCTCGCTATAGGGCAAAAATTTATTAGGATGCAATGTCTATATGTAGATGGGTTGGATACCCGGATTTATTACTTACCTTCATATGTAACCCAAAGTGGCCAGAAATAAAGGCAATGTTGCGCCTAATTGGTCAACATGATGATCGTAGCCGGGTAGACATCATATGCCGGGTTTTCCAGATCATGTTGGCCCAACTAATGTAACATATTAAAAAAGATAAACCATTCGGGATAGTAATAACATGTAAGTTCTTTCTATCAAATACTCTTACAGACCTTCATACCTCTGCACACTATATGCATCATCTAAAAATGTATTAACATATTACAATATAATTTACTAAATTAGTGCCAACTAAGACAAGGAAATATCCACCTTATAATAGCCAGATGCACCACCCAGTTTAGCAGGAATTTAACAAGGGAATTTAGAACAGAAAATTATATTACGCATCAAATACATGATATACGTCAACATATAAGGTCAAACTGTAAAAACTAATAGAAAAGGAAAAAATAGGTAATAAGTCATAGCTTAAAGTTCACCTAACAACAAATAAGTGCACCATCAAAAAAATAAACAATGCGGTACACAATAATTACGACCCAACAAAAGACATAACCAACAACTAATATCAAATAAAAAATCATAATACACATTGATACATGATATACTTACACTTGTAACATTTAATAAGATGATATTAATGTTAAACGTGAAATACTTTTCTTTGGAATTCATATGAATGGAAAAAGAGAAATACCTCCTAAAAAAACAGAACGAACTGCAATATTAAATAGGACAGCTTCAAACATCCTAACCATAGCCACATAGTAATTATTATGCAAGTATATATACAATTGAGTTCCAGAAAAAAGGCTTGCCACATGCACATATATTGCTATTCCTTCATGAATCACAAAAAAACCCCACAACAAAACATATTGACTTAGTAATATCCGCTGAAATACCTTATCTTTAAGAAGATCAAGATGGGTACAATGCAGTCAAGAACTTTATGATACACGGACCATGTGGACAACTCAATCCCCGCTTCCCATGTATGACACAAAGGAAAGTGCACAAAGCAATGCCCTAAGAAATACAATGACAAGACAAATTTTGATTCGGATAGATTCCCTATTTATAGGAGACGGAACACATATACTGAAGTGAAGAAAAATAGAGCTAGTTTAGACAACAGATACGTTGTTCCGTACAATAGGGACTTGGTTGTGTAATTTAATGCACACATGAATGTTGAAGTTTGCAACTACTCAAGGTCGGTGAAGTATCTATTCAAGTATGTTCATAAAGGGTCTGATAGAGCAACAACGATAATAGAATCAACAGATTCAAAAAAAGACAACGATGACATCAGAAAGTATCTAGATTGCAGATAAATTTCAGTTACCGAAGCGTGCTGGAGGATATTCCAATTTGACATGCATTACAGACAACCAGCACTTGGGCGATTACCACTTCATTTACAAGGACAAAACACCATAATATTTGACGAATTAAGGCGAGCTGAAAGCAAACTGAACAGACCAGATATTGAAAAAACAAAATTTACTGAATGGTTTAAAGCAAACAAAGAGTACCCTGATGCAAGAGATCTAACATATTATGACTTTCCTACGCTGTGGGTATGGAATATAAAACAAAAAAATGGAGTAGGAGGAAAAAAATTCAGGCAGTTGGTAGAATCTATTTTTCACATCCAACAAGTGGAGAGCGTTTTTATCTGCGCAATGTTGTTAAATTTTGTCAAAGGTTGCACTTCATTTGAAAGCATAAAAAAAATTAATGGAGTAGATTATAAAACCTATCGAGAGGCTTGCTACGCATTAGGCTTATTAGATGACGACAAGGAGTGGAATGACTACTTGTCAACGGCTGCTTAATGAGCAAATGGAAATGAACAGCGCAATCTAGTTGTGACTATTCTTATTCACTGCCAAGTTTCAGATTCACACAAGCTTTGGGAGAATAACTGTAAATTATTATATGAAGATATCACATTGATGAAGAGAAAACGATTACATATGAAAGATTTGCAACTAACTGACAAACAAATAGAAGCGTATTTCGTGTTAGAAATTGAGAACATAATCATAAAACAGGGAAGAAGTTTGCAAGACATAGAAACGCATAATACATTAATGCGGAATGTGGGAATCGCCTGATTAATGAAGAGCTAGACTATGACAAAGTCAAACTCAAAAAAATGCACGACAAATCATTTACACTATTAAATAGTTGTCAATTACCGGCATATGAGGCAATAATATCATCTGTTCATAATGAAGAAGGCAGATTATTTTTTATACACAGACATGGTGGTAGAAGCAAGACATTTCTATGGAATACAATTATTTCACAAATCAGAGCAAAATCAAAAATAGTTCTACCAGTCGCCTCTTCAGGTATAGCAACTTTATTGTTGCCGAATGGCAGGACTGCTCATTCACGATTCTATATTCCGCTTGACGTCACACCCGAGTCGAGATGTGACATAAAACAAGGAATCCAATTAGAGGATCTACTAAAGAAAACATGTTTGATAATTTGGGATGAAGCTCCAATGGAAAACAAGTATTGTTTTGAAGCCTTAGACAAGAGCTTGAGGGGCATTAATCTAGATAGGTATGAAAATAGTTGTGACAGCCCTTTTGGGGGACTAATAACCGTGTATGGTGGTGATTTCAGACAAATCCTGCCGGTAATTCCAAAAGGAACACGAGATCATATTGTTGATGCACCACTATATAGTTCAAACCTGTGGCCCTACTTTTCAATTTATGAACTGAAGGAAAATATGCGACTTAATTGTGGCAGAGTGATGGGTTCTGAAGCTGAAAGATTTGCAACTATTGATAAATGGTTATTGCAGATTGGAGATGGATCAGTTTATGATGATAAAAAGATGGAACTCATGAACCTCTCGCTTGATATATCCATTGCACCATCACACAATCAAGTGGAATCAATTGTAGATGCAGTAGATCCATCCCTATTACAGAAGTACAACGACCTGACATACTTGAAAGAAAGAGCCATACTAACACCAAAAATGAAATGGTTCATGATTTAAATGAAAAAATAATGAAAATTGTACTAGGGGAAGGAAGAACCTATTACACTTATTAAATATACATGTAATATACATGTAATATATTACACTTGCCTTCTCATATGTGTCTCTACATAATGAAATTTTACATGAAAAGTTCTTTTATTTTTTTAGAGTTCTTGTATCACAATGTTAAAGTTCTTCTCCAAATTCGTGTCCCATGAAGCCATCAAATATTGTTTTTCCCACTTACTCCTTCATACTACTAAACGAACTACAGATTTAATAAACATTGTTAAATGTAAATAGGGCCTCAACTATCATGAGTCTAATGAAGTGCGCAAAATAGGCTTATGATGACTCCAGTTATATTAAAAATATACATATATAGTAGATATACTTATTGTGAGGAAAATATTTATGACACTCAATTTTAAGAATTCATGTTTGGATATTCTATATAAAATTTTACTACCTAAATCTACTATTTATAAGTTTATATATTAATTATATTTTTCACATAGATATAAATTTTCTCATTGATAATTATGTAATTTGATGTACACCACTTATATATGATAAGTAAATTGTCTTGTTTCCCTTAGGAAATGCATTTGTTTTCTTATTTTTCTTCTTTATTTTCCTAATAATGTTAATTAAACAATTAATGACTTATTATCTCATGAAAAAATCATTCATTAAAAGTTCTTGATTTATGTGATACTAATAAATAATATAATTCGTGTTAAAAATATTTTTTAAATAATTTTTTTCTTCATTGTTTAAAGGTACATATATTAGCAAAGAATTATTGGCAAGCTTAATGCAATTATTAAGACCGCGCGAAGTGCGGATAAATTATCTAGTATATATATAATAAGAAAAAAATGACACATCTCAACACTATAAATTATTAAAATTTTAAATAATTAAAAATTAAACAAATAAATATAGACACATGTAATTAATTAGAATAAAACGATACATGTAAACACCAAAAAAATTTAAAATACTAAAATTTAACTATTTTTAAATGATCAATAATTGGTAAATTAAATATAAACACATTTCAATAATTAAAATTAGACCCAATTAATTCTATGATAGTTATACAAAATTGTAAATAAATAATAATAATAAATTATTAGATCTATTTGATTCTACGGTGTAAAAACAATTAAAAGTTCACAATTTAACTTTTTACTGAAATTAGGAAGTAGAATATTGCAAATTTTATTGAAATATACCATGGCACTGTTGTCATGCTAATTGTATTGACACTTTGGACGATTTTTTATTCTTCTTTGCAGGTAAGAAGAACATGGCTAACCATATCAGTTTTGCAATATCAAAATCGATAAAAAGAATTTGATTGTTTTATATTTTTAAAATTTTAAATTCCCTAAATTAGTTTGAAATTTATCTAAAAAGCTTTTAAGTTATTTATTTTTATGATATTATAATGATCTTTTGGAGGCATTCAACAAGTAATTATTTTACAATTTTATCTCGGTAATGAATTTGATGTTGACAAAGTAATTATGGTATAGGAACATATAACTATATATATAGAGTGTATTGACAATAATAAAATATTTAATAAAATGAATTTAACGACCCAAAAATGGACGTGATGACAATCATCTTTTCCCACCAAGACAAGTCAACCTAAAACTCAACCATTACAATAAAATGCAGAAATTTAAGAATCAATTCAAAACACCCCCAAAATCTGGTTGTCATGTGTACAAGCCTCTAAAGTATTATAATTCATTCAAAAGAAACGCTAGTATCAAATGAACTTGTTTCTAGAATAGAACAAGGTCATAACTAAGTAGAAAGAAAGTCCACTGAGACGATAAACAGCTACCTCACAAATCTTCAAGAAGCGTCAGACAAGGAGAAGAAAAATATCACAAAGTCCGGGCTAGTAACCTACAAAAAAATTGTAGTAGCAAGGTGTAAGTACCAAACCACACGGTACCCAGCAAGTAGAGTCCTAAACACAAGCTAAGGGGATAAAATATGGGTACTCCGTACACACCTACCGAACCTCCACTACTACAACCTGCATAAAATTCAATGCAACCTAACAGTTCATAGTACTCATAGAACCCAGCTCATCAAAATTATTTTAATAAATTTGCACATCCTCAACTACAAACTCAATATTCAATATTCACAATTTTCACAAAAAAAGCACTCACAATTTAAGCAACATGCATGACCAAGTTCGTCAAATAGAGATAATCAAATATTAAGTGCTTTCCAACAACCAATAAAACACATAATCATCAAGAATGAAGGATGTCATGTGATGCAATGCAATATGACACCATGAAGTGATATGCCTTAGAATATCAATTACTCTCTCAACCGTATATACATGATACTTCTCGAAAATACATCGAGAGTTGATGACCCATGGGGACTCACTAGGTCCATATACCGACACAGACGATCTAAAAATACTCATATTAGTATAAGTTTCTAAATTTCACTCCTAGGGTTAAGCTTCAAGTTTCCCAATATCACCATTCTAATGGTATTCGTGTAATACAATATACCCATTACTTAATTTTATACAACAAAAAAAAAAGATTCTAACACCATTTTATCTTAAAAACAATTATGTTGTATTCTGACCCTCAGTTTACGTCTTATGCTTAACCCATAACCACAGACAACATGTAATAATTTCTCAAAAAAAGTCTTGTGACCTAAACAAACTTGAAATTATAGTGTACCATTTATTGAAAATAATTATACATATACTCCTAACAGTTCAATTCCCTAATTCTTTCCCCCCAAAATTGTAAACAAACAAAAAGAATATAATAATAATATTAATGGTAGCGTTATTTCTTGTTCCCAAAATTTCAAGCCGCCAAGAACGATACAACAACACCTATATGCCTTCACAATTGTCAGCCTTCAATTTCTTATACCTATTATTCTAATATAATAATAATAAATACTAATTGCGTTCACTACGCTCCAAAACTTCATGAATTAGTACAATAGTCCATCAATGAAAAATCAATACTGCTCTAATTAAGTTCATATGATAATTGGATTTAACACTATAATCAACCATTGGAAACTAATGATTGTGAGTGTAGATTTGAACTCCATTGAAAAAATAATGTTTACTTACTTGAAGGTGGCGATGATATCTCTGTTCGTGTTTGCTGCACGAACAAATTTTTTTCTTTCTTCTCTTATTTTCTCTTCTAAATTAATTATGTATTAAAAGTAACAATTTCTAATAACCTATTTAAATATTTCAAAATTGTCCCATTATTATTAAAAATAAATAAATTACCCTTCATTAATTAATTTAGCTAAATGACCATTCAAAATTATCAAAAACGATCTTTTCAGAATCGGATTACATTATCCACCACTAAAAATCATGTTCGTCCCTGAACATAAGGAAGAAGGAGAAAGAATAATTTCATTATCAAAAGCTTGACTTATGACCTACTAGTTGGTGTTCATATCTCCAAGTGAGCTCCTCCTTAAGACCATTCCATCAAGATCAAGTACTTAGAACTGAACTTTCGAATCAAACTTTGAAAAATCTATCAATCAAGAGAGACTATCAAGCCACAACTAACTCATGAATCCAATTAAAACTAAAACCCATTGGACCTTAACACAACCATCATGATGAATATTTTCTGACGTAACCAAGATAATCTTCTAAATCAATACTGAATACGAACCAAAAGTGAACATGAACCAACTACCACACACTCTCAATGCACAAATCGTTACCGGTGTTATTATGATTCTCTTCTCACAACACAACTTCTCTACAACTTTAGATATATTAAAAAATTGATCTTTAGACATAGGGTACTCATTATGGGAAATCAAACTTTTGCAACCCCCCCCCCCGCCAAAAAAAAATCAAATATCCATCCATGAAACGATAAACTCAAGGATGCAGAACCTTTAATAACACTGTTGGATAACTGTAAATATTCACACAAGCTCTTCTATAAGTTCTCATAAGCAAATTCGTGCATGTAGAACCAGTGATATACTTCAACTATCTCAAAAACACCAAATCTATCATAACTGAAATAACCAAATCTAACTGGAAGAATTTTGCTCTACCAAGAGACAATCACAGGATTGGTACACCCGATCCACCACTATAAATTCACTCATAGATATGAAAACACGTGCGGGTGTAGGTGGTGAATTTCAGTCCAAACCATATCCCAAATGAAGTAGATGGTCACATAAGAATATACAGCCAACACATACCTCATTGTTTGTCACCCAAATAAAATTCCATCTTTATAAAAGTCGACGATAATTCTGTACCATACTATTTCACATTTTACAATCATATATAATATATTATGCGAAAATCAATACTACCTTCAATTACAACTAAGGATTTATATGAGAGGTCTTAGTCATTTACTTTTCTTAGAAATAGAATTTAAGCCAAAAAATTCTAAATATCTTGAACTCTTCAATACACCACACTCTTGTTCCTCGTGTTGTCTCGCTTACGGATCTTATTCTTTGGTTAAAAACCCTTGACATTTTTACCTTAGCCTTTAAATTAAAATATTATCTGAATCCCACCGTTAGGTTCTTTATCAATAAAAAGTAAGCAAATTTTTTTACTCAAATTGTGCACAAGTCCTTACAAATGTTCCACACTCAATGCGATCAATTATTTCTTACCTTACAAATTCATACCTTGACAAAACATATCACCAGGAATGCAGACGTATAATGAAAAAAATTAAATTGTAAACCTATGTGTGTAACTCAATCTCATTATCTATCGACATAGCTCATACCTTAAAGATTTGTGTGATTAACTTATCATCGATCACCTCTTCATCGATTATATCATATCTTTCGCTAAAAATTCAACTATAGTCATTAATAAACTCAATATCACAAGAGAACTTATCATCATACTCGAGTTGAACATATATACACTCTTTTATTAAGTCTTATTCCATAGTTTTTAACCAATCTAATAAACC